AAAAGTTTATTATTTATCATCTGTGTGGCATGTATTTATCATGTATTTGTCATGATAATATCTGTAGAATGTCTCTCAATCAAACAGGCAGAAACCGTTTCTCATCTTAGAGTTTTAACATCAGGGGAAACCATTTAAATACTTCTTAAAGAAATGTAGTATTTTCAGTTTCAATGAGAAAATTCTATGACATATTAACCGTATTCTTCTATGTCTCTCTTTTCTTTCAATTATTTTCTTTTGCAAGGTGTTGAAATTAAAGTGTCCTTGAAGTTCAGGTGTTTGGTGAATTACCTGTGGGACCACCATAGTCATAGTCTTCAGTCTGTTGCTGAGTTTGTTGCTGACTGCCTGTGTAGAGACAGAGAGTTTTGAATGGATGCTTCCTGAACTGTGTTCAGGGTGGAATACTGTATGTCCTTAGACTAGTACATTTCAGTGATTAATTAAACACATTATAAGTGAAGTATTATATTAAAAAATATATAGTTTATTTTTAACAAAGCAATGTAAGAGTGATTACATAGACTTCGAGCAATCAGAAGAGTTTGTTTTTTCAGGTGCATCAGAGTTAAGTATTAGTCTATGCTTTATCTGTTAGTACTACCCTCCTGTAACGGCCAGTTTTTTTTTGTTGTTGTAATATGTTCTTACAGTATCCTCATTTTAAATGAATCAGGGGCACAAATAGCTTTAAAACTAAAATAGCTAAAAAGTCATTAGGTAGATTTAGAATTCATCACCCTTTTTTCATTTATGACAGATATTTTTCCTATGCTGTGTAATGTAATGATGTAAATGATAATTAAAGTAATTATACATGATTCAGAAAATTAAATTCTATATCAAACTCAAAGCAAATAATAAAACTATTCAATTTTTAATTTTAATATAGTCATCAATATTTTCTGTAATACACTACATTAAAACATCTGCAATTACAGTAAATATTTAAATTATACAGGTCCTGGTTGAAATTCTTAAATGTAAAATGGATTAAAATGACACTGGTACTGAAATTACTGAATATTCAACAATATTTGTATCTGTTTCATACTTAATTAATACATTTAACTTTAAGCAGCTTCATGTCATACATCGACATTGACTGAGGACCTTGTCCTTTTTCACTTACCACATGCTTTTTGTAATGATACAGTATTCCTGATTACTAAGTATAATTAAGTTAATTAATTTATTACGTTTATTGCACATGT